AAAAAAAAAACTCTCAACAGTTCAGCACCCTCACCGTCATCCTGGTTTCTTCCATTGACAAAAAGGGCCCTTATTCCCGCTTGCACAGCACGCGCTCCGGCCGCACACTGCCTCACCAGACACATCCTCGTTGGATTTGCTGCTGCCTTGAGGACGATGGATCACGGGAGTGGGAAGGGATGCAGGGGACAGAGCCACACAAAGTGCATTTGGGGCTGAGGTAACGCTGGGGACAGTTTAGAATAGTAAGCGGAGCAAATCAGATCTGGGAATAATGGGAAATAATCCATCTTGGTTGCTTTTTGCATCGTTTCAAATCGTGCCTGTCGTGATAGGCAATTTGTGCGTTCAGCTCACTCGTTTTGAGGATGAAAGGGAAACTGAACAGGCCTAAATCAAGGTTCATTTTTGCTCTGTATGGGACAGAGCTGCTCGGAGGTGCCGGGGCTGGTGACTGCCATCCTGGCAGGCCCCAGGCACGGCGGGAGGCCTCGGTTCGCTAAATCCTTCCAGAATTGCATAACTTGGAACAAGGGAGCTGCCTCCTACCGTGTGGGTCCTGCGGCCACAGGTTATGCAAGGGCTCAAGCGTTTAGCTGGACAGGGGCCTAATCTCTCAATGTCATTTTCTCCTGTCTAAAAAACAGTAATAGCACTAGTTTCCTCAAGAAGGGAAGCAAGTGATTCAGTCTTAGTTGCAGGAAAAAAGGGTCTAAAGCCACCAGGCAAAATAACCGAGTAGCAGAAGAAACAGGGGGGAATAAAAACCTGGGATGTCCATTTTATGAGGCAGTTCTGATCTGACAGTGGCTTGTGTTAAAACTCTTACCCTCTGCTCTTGACCTGTCTGATCACGTGCATTTGAAAAATAAACCTGCTTGCAAGCCTTGCAGGAGGAGACCAAACCAGTGAGATTCATGAGGCTGATTCATGTCCCTCACACATCGCTCAGGTGCCTTCATGCTGGAGCAGAGCAAAGGTGCCTTGCGTGGCCCAAAGAGCCTGCACAGGATGTCTGAATAGCAGGCTGGCTTTCCCAAACCAGCAGTTAGAAAACTTAGGGCTTGAAAAGTCCATCCCAAAGAGAAGAATAAACTGGAATGACCTACTTATGGCATTTCTGCATGTTTTTTCTAGATGAGTATTACACTTAGAATTAGGATAAAATAAGAACTAACATGTGAGGGAGAGTATTTGTGATTGGGATACTGTTTTTTTTTCATAGGCTGTCTTCCATTTATTCAGCTGGAAGATGTTTTTGTACCCTGATAGAGGAAGGAGGAGGTCCCACCACATGGACTGGCTAAGCCAGGCTGATGGCCAGTGGCTGCTGCCAGAGGCAGTGCTGCCTCCCTCTCCTCCCATGCCCTGGGGCCACCTCCTCTTCCTCGCACTGCCTCAYTCCCTCAGCAGACCAGTTCTGCCCACCAAACCTCTATGGAACCAATTCAAGTAAAAGACACTGATCCCTTTAAGTCAGGCTTTTTCTGCATGGAAGCTTAGCATCAACTCCTTGCTCATCCCAACACTTGCACATTTCTTCTGGGATGAAAGCCTTTAAAATTAGCTACTAACCTACTATAGAGTTGTCTGTAGAGATGGACAAGTCTGCTGGCTTCACACTAACCTCTAGAATTTAAGCACCATTATTTCATAATGTAATTTCATGCGCTATTACCACCCACACCTAAGGTAAATGGTTGTAATTGAGATCAGCCAGCAAATGTGGCTTCGCAGGCATAGATCCATGGGCCGAGCTTCCAGGATAACATGGATGCAGGGAAAAGGCTGTTTTTTTGCAGCAAATGCCCCTTGTCAAACCTAGCTGGGGACTCAACTTGCTCTTCTTATGGGACTCAGCGACCCATGTAGAACATGCATAACATGCAAGGGCTATGAAACTACTAAACACTCTTTTATGTGTCGAGTGCATTAAAGTCTTTTTTTATGTATATCTAGTGTATTGTTATATAGACTGTCAGTGAAGACAAATTACTCCTTTTAAAAAAAAATAAAAAATGTCACTGTTGCTCTGAACTGTTGGTGACACTAGCAAACACCATGATTCCATTATTCACCTTTGTAAAGATTAATCTTTATCAGCAGAAAGTCTACTTTTTCAGAGAGGGGGAACAAAAGCCTGTACAGGAGGAAGGTGGCAGAAAGGGGAGCCTCTGTCATCGCATCATTCACTGTGTTGCCTCAATTCACCATTTCAGTGGGTCACTCTTAGAAGGCTATTTCTGAAAAGTAAATAAATTGCTGTGAACAAACACGACTCTGAAAGAAGAATCTTTGGAGGATCTTTGAAGTTTCCTGATCGTGATGCCATCAGGTTAACCTCCCCACAGCAAGCAAAAAGGAGCTGCACTGGTGCAAGTCCGGACCTTGTGGAGAGCTTGCTTGCGAGGAGGTGTGGGCATGTGGAATGCTCCAGTCTGACAGATAATATATCTGGGAAGCGCTTTGAAGTTCGACCTGAGAATTTCTCATATTGGGCCAGTTACTGTGGATATAATTTAAACCTGCAAAAAAAATCTTGTTAGCAAACACATATTTTTTTTCCCAGATTAGCATTTTCTCCCAATTGCAGGTGTTCTTAGTCTTCTGCCTAATACTATGAGTTGAAGTGGACCATGGGAACAGACTGAGACTACCAGAGTTTGGGGAAAACATGCTCTACAACAAGCTTAAATATGCCCAGTGAATAACAGAGTTGCTAGGCATGGTAAATAATAGAGTCTAATTCTCTTTTTGATTCATTGTTGGAAGATATTTTGCTCTGCTTTGTCTTTGTGGTTTTAAAAACCCAGCAGAAGGCTATTTAAAGCAGTTGGGAAACTTGGGTTGAAAAAAAACACAATGGAGTGAGACTTATTGGAACTAGTTACATGTCAGAGCAGTTAGCTGWAAACATATTTTATAGCCTTGGTTTCTTCTCCTCGCTATATAATTATACAGTTATGTTTTAGTTTGAAAAGTGGATGTGTTATTGGGAATTTGATTTATGAGCAGCAAAAGCTAAACCAGGGCAAATATGGCAGAAAATTACAAAAATATCCAGCAACTAGTCTGTTGCTTTCAAAATTTCTTAGCAGCAGCGCCTGGTTTTGAGAAAATTACAGCACCATCCTCAGATTCCTTCTCACCTCTGGGATTCGGAGGAGGGTTTTGGCCCTGGTGGCAGGTGTGAAACAGATGCTGCCTCCAGCCAAGGAGAATCTCCTCTGGGGTACAGCAGTGGGACAGAGCAAGAGCTTCCCAAGTATWTTCCCAGCTTTGTGAAAATCTGCTTTTCCCTGTCATTAAAGATATCTCTGTGCTAAAGTGATACCAATAGCAGGGCATAAGAACACACCTTTTATTTATTTATTTTTTTTTTCTGTGAACCATTTCAAACCAAAGTGGAAAGAAATCTCTGCTTATTTTCCTTGAGTGATGTGTGAGGATTTCAGTGCTGCTTAATCATCCAAGCTGCTGTGTTTCTGCTATCTTCTTACTCAGAAGAATTTTTTTTCATTCACTTAGTAATACTCCTCAGAGCAAGGAACTAAACTTGAAAAAGGAAAAGCAAGGTTTTTGCTGGAACAAACTGTAAGCTTGCTCTCTCCCTTAATTATGACTTTTCTATCTGGTTGCCTAAAAGGACTTCTGCTGCTGCCTCTGGTAGAAATTTGGAAGTAATGCTTTCCATTTGTATTCTGTTATCTTTCAACATACCATTGCAGACCTAATTTTTTGTTTCTCTCTAAACATATCCACAAGAGAAAGCTGTTCTCTAAGCTGTCCCAAAGCCATTCTAAACTCATCCAAAGCCCAACCATTCCAAACTCATCCAAATTCTACTGAATTACCCCCTTGTTACCACCTGCAGGTGACATCCTACAGATAGGGAGTAATAATACAAATGCAGTAGGTATAATAAAGGTAGTTTCTTCATTGATTTGCTACTATTACATCTTTCGAGTGAATCACAGGACTCTTGTAATTCTGATCTAACACACCTTGCTCCAAAGGTGGCCTGCAAGTCTTCCTCTCCTTTCCCCTAACGCTGGAGCTCTCCCATCTTCTCCTGTTTGTGGCTTCAAAACAGGGCTGGCAAAATTCCATTAGTGCCTCACTGGGGACCAGCACAAAACTGACCTGCCTGGAGTTAAACAGCAGTTAACACTGTGTAACTTACTGTGATATCAAGAAGAAATTAAATGCTGGCTGCCCTGAGATGGCTCGGTGGGTCCATGTCCCCTCTTTTAGCAGATAACATGTTACCTCTCCTCTCTGAGCAGCTTTGGGAGAGCAGGGAGGTGTCTCAGCTACCATTGAATAGGTAAATACCTATAAATTGTAGTGTACAAAGTGAATATAGTTTTGAAGTCATTTCACAACTTGTTCTCAGGATTTGGTTTTGGCTAAAATGATTAGGTCCTGTTAAACCTGAAGGTGCCTCAGGCTCAGGTGGCTCAGGACTGAGCTCTCTGAGCATAATTGAAAACCAGAATCAAGCTCTTTGTGTTTGGAGAGGTAATGTGGAGGTTGACCTTGCTTTCCTTGGATGGCTTGTGTGCTTCTGAAAGAGAGCAGAAAATAAGAGAAATGAAAAGAAGGAAAAGGAAAAGGAAAAGGAAAAGGAAAAGGAAAAGGAAAAGGAAAAGGAAAAGGAAAAGGAAAAGGAAAAGGAAAAGGGAGAAAGGAAAGGGAAGGAAAGGGAATGGGAAAGAAAAATAAGAGGAAAAGAAGAGGAAGGGGAAAGAAAAAGGAGGAAAAAAGAGAAAAGGGGAAAAGGAAAAAAGAGGAAAAGGAAGAGGAAAGAAAAAGGAGGAAAAGAGGGAAAAAAGAAAAGGGAAAGACAAAAATAAAACGAAAAGGGAAAGATGAAGAAGGAGAAAGAGAAAGGGGAAGAGAAAAAAAAAAGAAAAAAAAGAGAGAAAGAGAGAGAATAAAAAAGACAAAGCTGCAAAGTTCCTGGCCAACATTCCCAGAGCGAGAAGGCACCTGCAGGGATGAGCTCCGCGGGCCGCCGGGCGCTGACGGGGCTCCGTGCGGGCGGGCGGGCCGACCCGGGGCCGCAGAGCGGGTCGCGCCTGGGGCCGCAGAGCGGGCCGCGCCTGGGGTCGCGCCTGGGGTCGCGCCTGGGGCCGCAGAGCGGGCCGCGCCTGGGGTCGCGCCTGGGGCCGCAG